TAATCTGTATTTGGGGTAAAAATGGGAGTTCATAACCCACTTGAATCTAATGTATGAAATATGATATGTCAAGAGCTTTGTAATGTTTTGAACAACCAATAAAAAAAAGAAAAAAAAAAGAGAGTAATCCCTTTTTCCCTTTTGCTGTCCCTTCTAATAAATTCATGTTGCTATTCTAAACAATTTGTAGGAAATCATTCCAGCATGATTGTGAAGAACAGATGACGGAGGATATCCATCAGTGCTTGCTTTGGCGTTTACAGACAACCTGGCTCTGGAAGAATATCAGCGCTACTTTCTTCAGAGCTGACAACTAAAAGTGGCCTCTCTCTCTCTATATATATATATACACACACATATACATAGAAAGAGGCAAATTTCACTATGGAAATATATATATGGAAACGTACATGGTTCTCAAAAGCTGATGGCATCAGTAAATCATTAAGATCTCTGTATCTATAGATTTATCAATTTATCAATTACAATCAGAACCTAGACTCCAGATAAGCTTCTTCAATTTTTCAAACAGGACAAATTAAAAAAGGAAACTTCTTCCTCTTGGGCCTTCCAGCTTAAGCCAGCTCCAGGTTTTAAAGAGTTCAGTAGGGCGAGAGCAATAGCACTTGCCTAGTACCCATGAGAGGGAGTTTGATCTCTGGTACCAAAACATAAGGAGCTAAGTAAACCAGAGGAGCTATAATGATTCTCCCTCTATCTTAGAGAGATTTCACAGATTAAGCTCAGGGGGTTTACTTTTAACTAGTACAGTTAGCAACACTCTTGCTCTGATCTGTGCCACAACTTCTAAACAACTACAGCTTTTTGATGTGCCCTACTCCTTGGTTAGAACAACTTGAGAATCCTGCAAGATAGGTGCACAACAATTGCTGTTCTTTTCTACTCTAAAGAAGATCTTCACAGTGACAAAGAGTGAGGGCTCAAAAGATGACTGCAATATTAATCAGTGAACTGAATATTGTCAGGCATTATTTGTGCAGGCTACACTTACCAATGTAACCTGAAACTTCTTTGCCCTTATATGAGAAACAAAGTGTTAGATCCATGCACACAGAGGGCAATCCATTTTCAACACAGTCAAATCTCGTTCTGTTTACTGACTCAGGGTGGCTTAAAGATGCTTCGACAATCACAACAGGTCTTGTCCTAAGGAGGAAATAAAATAAGCAATTTTAATTGCAGAATTATTTTTCCTTAGGAAGATAATTGCACTTATTGTCAGTTTTCATTGACTAAGAAATGTCATTAATCTGCTCTGTTACCAGTATGTGTGTATGCATTTAACTCAATGTCTAGGCACAGATCAAGAGAAATTTTCATTTAAATGTCTAAAAACACTGACTTCAATGATTTGTTTAATTATATCTATGCAAGGTGGGAAACATACACTAAAGTTCAATAATTAAATTTCAGGATACCAAAAAGAGCATTGTGAGGCCACTATCACTGCTGTTTTTAAAAACTGTCTCCCATCATTTACAATTAAGCCCAATTGTCATTAAGCAATGAAATGTATCCACCTTACCTTAGCAACACAGCAGAATCAGACCTAAAAGCACCAACTGCCACATCTGGAGGATAACAAACAGCCACCCAGATTAATGATCGTCATTACTCAAAGAGAATTACTTTTCAGCCATAAATACTTAACTGCACATCACCTTTGGACTTTATCAAAACACTACTTACAGAAAATTAATTGGAAAAGACATGCTAGCACTTTGAGATTCATTGTACATTTATCTGAATCTATTCACTTGAAACAGCGTTCATTCCTTTCTAATATAACTTTATAATATAAACTTATAAAGATACTCATGCTAAAAATGTGATTTTTAGGCTACAAATATTCATCCAGAAATTTCTTTTCATTATTGTATGTTTGATTGATTGTCATGGGTACTTAATTTTTTCAAGAACAGGCATGTAATATTAAGGAACTAACAGTATAAAGCTGAGAAATTACTTGATTATTTCTGACCCAACCTTGAATTTAAGAAAGTTTTAAAAACATAAGAAAAAATAATCAGTAAATTGACATCTCCCACAATAGTTCTCTACAACAAAGCAGTATCCACAATGAAGTTTACTCCAGTTTATAAATTATGATGATTTTATACTCACCCATGTATCCATTATTATCTGCATCAATTTGTCCTGATATAGACTGTCCAAACATACTTAATGATTTACTGATTTGAAGTCCTTCAATCCTCTGAAAAATAGGCAAGTTGCGTAGGAAATAGTTTTTGAATACCTACTATTCCAGAGAAGCAATGGTTTAGCTAAATCATAAGTCTTGCCACATGATTCCTGGCACATTGACTAACAAATGCATTCTAGTTAAATGCTTGTAAAAGAGGCAAAATTTTCTACCTTGAAATAGGCAGTTAACATCTATATTGTGACTTTAAAATTAAAATTCTTGGTGAACAAAAGGAAAATTATATGGCACAGATTTTTCCAAAACCATTTTTACTCCTTTTCCTCAATTTTTTTTCAGGTTCTGTATTTACTTCTTTAACCAACACAAATAGCTAAACAATGTATTTGGAAAATAAAATATCTATAATCACATAGTGGAGCCTACTACTCAGCCATAAGATGAAAGGCTACTTATGAAGCCAGATTGCTCCCTATCATTTGAAAAGAACAGACCAAGTGAGTTATCTGCCTCCTATTCCATATCTAATTCACATTCAGATAGTATTTGTAAATATCAGGCTGTTCTTCCTACTAAGAAAAATCAGGATCTGTTCCTGGGCAAGAACATGTCATTCAGGTTAAAAAATACAGATGTACATGTCCATTTTTGCCAAAGCAAACATAACAGTACTAGCTAATGTTTCCATAAAAATGTCTTTGGAGAAACTTTGCTTCTTTGCCTGTGATTGTAGTATTTTCTATGCACTGAAGTGTCCTGATTTTTCAAGATATAAAAGTAAGATCAGAGTTCAACCATGAACATTCATTAAAATGCTATCATCTTACTACTCTACACTGAAAGAAACACAGTATCATATTCACGTTTGATCCCCATGCACAATTTTCACGAAATATGAGGCGTTAGTCACAAGGAAAAGACAGTTAATCAAACCCAAATGGGCATATTTCAGAATAGTGTGGTATTTCCTGAAGAACACAAACTTGATGAAATGCAGAAATAAATCTTTAATAGACTAAAGACAAGCTAGAATGGAAGTGAACTAGAACTCTTATTTATGGGAAAAATGGCTTTAAAGGGTTATTAATCCCTTGCAATAAGACCTTTTATCATTACTGTAAGAATATGGTGAAATAAAATGAAATAAAATGCATTTGAAAGAAAGTAAAAAAAAAATAAGTCTATGAAAACACTGGAAATTTTCAGGGCACCTTTGTCACGATGCTTCTTTTGAACACAGAATAGTATCTTACCTGTGAGAAGCTTGCTGAGATCCCATCTACTCGGCCATTGTAAATGTAAATAGCACCTCGCAAGTCATCTTCTTGGGGAGCCCCAATAGCAACATCTATTCAAGGATGGAAGCAGTGGGAAAATAAATTCTTGAAAGAAAGAATTATCTTTGAAAAGTAACCTTCATGATCCCCAATTCATGACATAAGAAAGCTCTCTCTTAGAACTAACACTCTTCTAAAAAAAAAAAAAAAAAAAAAAAAAGAACTATTATCATAATGTACAAGGTTACACAGAATAGTCTTTACATGGAAGAAAGCAGAGGAGACAGGTCTGAGAGACACTCTTCACAAAGAAGCTAAGGATGTCTGCCCCATAGTCAGACCCCAGAGTCCAACCCTAGCTACACTTCTGTACTAAGCTCTGCTCATTTCTCAGCTTCCATGTCTTGGCTCCCCACCTAAAGAATGGGATCAACATGAAAGTAACACTATAAAAGTATGTAACTTGTGTCAAATGCTTAGACTAGCATCTATGGAATAAGTTGTTATAACCTATAAATATTGTAATCACTAGAATCTTGATTTCAAGCTTCTATGTTTTATTTGTAAGATTACTTTTAAATTAATTAGAATTCCAATGAAAGTGATTAAAGTATATATTCAGGATTTCAGTAAACGGATTTGTGCTATATAATAATGACAGCAACTCCTTTATGAGTTTGAGAGTCACATCAGATTATGACACCAAGAACAAAAATTCGGTCAACTGATAAAAGACCCAATAACAAACAATTGACACAATTGTTTACATGCTATAAATATATAGCAGAAAGGGGGGAAAATGCTAATCTACAGTTTCAAGAGCATTTCATTACTTTCTCAAGTATGATGTCTGCTTGAATTTATTCAAATATTTACTTATATGCAGTTTTTAACTGCTTTCATTGACACCTGAAGTAGAGAAAGTTTGTTCTTGTGATATTTCTTACTGTCCATCAAATCAAAAACATTTCTAACACCTAGAATGGTAATTTTGTACAATTTCAATGGGAATAGAAACATTTGATATGTAACTATGTTAAAAACTGTACATTTTTTAAATGCAAAAGCTTTTCTATTTTTATCTAAAAAGAAATGATAGACACTGATCCTTATTTTTTTTAGACATGCTAAAACCATTCTCTTTTGATGAGTGTGAACTATTTTGATATACTATTTTGATATAAACTTTGATATTCAAATATACCAATTAATTTATTCATTCATTGGACAACTATTGAGCACCTACTGTATTCCAGTACAGGGCAAAACTGCAAAAAATGGAACTCAGTCTACTGGTGAGAACAGAAGTAAAAATATAGCAATCACACAGCACACATGAAGAAAGTGGTGGACATTAGGAAAGGCTCCCTCATAGAAGATGATGCCAGAGATGAGATTTAAGTATTGATAGGTCACAGCTAGGCTAAGAAAGGGGAAATGCAGTTTAGACAGAAGGAAAAGCCTCTGCACACAAGGTGGGGGGGGGGCATTCATCATGGTACACATGACGAATGGCAACTGGTTTGCAAGAGCTGGAGTCACATTAGCATAGACTAAATGCACAGAGGAACACAGTGGGCGGAAAAGGAAGAGAAAGAGGAGGAAAAAAGGAAGGAGGTGAAGGGAAGGGCTGGGGAGAAGTTCCTCTGGCCACAGCAGTTTCATTAGTCAGGGTTGGGTTTTATATTCCAGCATGTGGCCTAAGACCATAAACAAAATTCTATATCTTGATTTATGATAACCACACAAGGAAAAATAACAAGCCTGCTTTATGAAGTGGTGATACCAAAAGCCTTTCAGAATCAGTTATTAGCACTAGTGATCTAAATTAAGATTACAGACAAGCCTTTTCAGCTGAGGTATACAAAAGGCCCAGATCAATTTTCTTTCTGTGCAGAGGACATTTGGGGATATGAAATCTCTGGCTAATACAGATTCAAATTCTTACTTCCTAGGATTATACATAGATATGATATAAAATGCACTAAAGTTTTAGCTTTCATTAAGGGAATGATAAAACATTTTAATAAATAACAAAATGTTTTTCTATGCCTTTGCAACTCTATTTAGGACACAGTATACAGAACATTGAGATGTTTGATAACTGGTTTTGCTTTGCATCTGAACAGTTATTTTGTTGGGTATAAACCATAGCCATTAATAGTATGAACATAATCATCTCTATTTACATAGTGTCTGCAATGCAGACATGGTGCTGGGGATTTATACATACTTACTAATTTAACTCACAGAATAACCATATCAGATAAGTACTTTTTAATCCACACTTTATAGATAAAGACACTGAGGCACCAAGTGTAACTTGCTCAAGTTCAGAGCCAGGAGGTGGTGCAGTAGGGATCAAAATTTTCAGTCTGGCTCCAGAGTCCTGCTCTCCATCACCACAATACGGTCATATACAACAGAAGTGAGCCCCAGAGTTTCCCCTCTTAGCACCTGTTTCTGCTCGGTGTCAAAGCAGTGCTTAATGAAAGGTGTGATAATATGCCAATATTGATTTCAGGGGCACATAAAATAATAACACAATATCTTATAATTAGAGAATATTAATAAGGTTCTACTCTAAAAAATACTCAAACATAATAGTCTCAAAGCCAGATGAGTATCAAGGTGAAGGGAAAAAAAATTAAACCAATAAGTAGTTTTGCCAATCTATCTTATATGATCCAAAATGTTACCTATTTGCCTATTAGTCGTGTCAGCCTGTCCATCTATGTACCTACCTATTCCACAACTTTTTTATTTTTGATTCAAGTTTTACACTATACTTTCCAAATTAACCAGTCATCTCCTTAGAAAATGGCTTGCTTTGCTTTTCTAAGGAAATAGGATCATCAATATTTTTCCTTTTAAAGAACAATACAAAAATGATGTGACAAATGTCAAAATAACAGCTTTGCTATGCAAAGCATCACAAAGTTTTGCACAAAGGGCATTGAGTATGATTTAGTCCTAGTAATAGAAAAGAAAGAAAAAAGAACAGGTTGGGTATTCATTCCTGGTCTACACAGTCTCACAATCCCAGCCATGAACACAAAGGATCTGCATCTACCAGAGAAAAGTAAGATAGAAGATGGGGGAAAGGATAGGGAAACATAAAAATAGTCTAGAGCTGGGGACTTAGCTCAAAGCAGAGTGCTTGCCTAGCATGCTTGAGGCCCCAGGTTCAATCCCTGGGACCCACAAAATTTTTTTTTTTTTTTTTTTAAGAAAGATAACATGTAGATTCCCTGCTGTGTCTCTCAAGCAGATGTGGTCCAATGGAATTAAGACCTTAATGAAGAGCTTGAACACACTGAGTCTACTTCCAAATCACCATGGTCTTGCTAATATTTAAAATGTAGAAAACTCTTACTTATGGGCAAAATAGAAAGTAAAATTACAACTGGACTAAGTAGAAAAAGATATGAGGTGTTATCAACATTCACTAAAGTGTAAGGCTAAATACACTGTGGGTTATAAATGAGATTATAAATAGCACAAACAAGTATAGAAATATTACAACTACTGTAATTATAGTCTTCTAGAAATAGAAGCAACCTTGAGGAGTAGAGGGCTGAGCCAGGCATGGTGGCACACACCTGTAATCCCAGCTGAGACAGGAGAATTCGTGAGTCCAAAGCCAGCCTCAGTAACTGGTGAGGCACTAAGCAACTCAATGAGACCCTGTCTCTAAATAAAATACAAAATAGGGCTGGGGATGAGGCTCAGTGATGGAGTGCCCCTGAGTTCAATTGCTGGTACCAAAAATAAAAAAGGAGTGAAGAGCCAAGCACTCTAGGAAACAAGTGCCATCTGAAACCTTGGTTCTCACACACTGATTGAAAACCTGCCCTACCCTAGGAAGGTCCCCTCAAAAATCCTCTTCCTAAGTCTCACCAATAGAACACTTTGTCCTTCACACCACTTGGAAATTGGGACTTTCCCAGGTACTAGGGTGATTTTGGAAAGGAAACTTGCTTACTGTCCATAACAGCTTTACAACTCTGATAAGAATATAGGTTTGAAATTTTAATGCACATAATTTCTTCTTTACATGCACATGTATTTTAGGATATTCCAAATGGGGAGTGGCCTTCTTTGAATGTACCAATTAAAACAAACTGTAGAGGAATCATAACTTAGTATTTACTAAAAGGTAGTTTTTGTTTTTAAAAGAACCATTATCTCATGATACATATAAAATAGTAAGGTGCATTAACATGGCATCATCTATAGATTTTTATTAAGTAAGATCCTTAAATCCACCACAAATGAGATTTACTTTTATGTCTTATTTTCATTTGATTATATAACTATAAGAAAGGTGCCAGTACTTCCTTCATTTTCATTTATTATGGTGCATACTCAATACTGTACTCAATAACTGATTTTTTGCAGAATTATGCATTTAAACATTTAAAGTAGCATTTATGTATAAGAGGAAATTGAAATAAGTACGCAAAACTCCCTCACTTATTTTTAGTAACCAAGTTTTAGCCTCATATAACCAAATAATGTTAATGACTACATCAGGAAGACTTAATCTTGATCCCTGAAAAGACCTAGTGGCTTGGAGACTGTGCATTCTCCTTTCAAACTCATTCATCATTGTATGCACAATTTTTACAGACTTGGTCACCACTCAGTACTAGAGTGAAAAGAGCAAAGCAAAGCAAAAGGAATACTGGTAGAGGCAGGTACCTGTATTAAGTCATCACAGACTTAATGCCATTTTTTTTGTGAAAGAGTGGGGTATGAACATTATGTGATTTAAAAAAAAAACTGAGCAATTAATAAAAAATAATTTATTACTAAACTGTGCTTGGTGCAAGATTAGGATGCACAGAATACTTGTGAATATACGTTAACGTGCTATGATGATTATGCAATGAAATATGATATTTCAATAACAGGGCTGACATACAGGGTAACATGACAGTTAAGACAGTATAATTAATTATGGAGATACCTCAGTAGCAGTTGGTAAACAGCCACTGTCCCCAAGCCTCCCAACTGACCCTCACCAGTGCTCAGGACATTTTCCTGGAATTCCCCAAATCCTACAACAAGGCAGCAGTGGAGCAGGAAATTCCCAGCATAGCAGGGCCTTAGGAGATCTGCTCCAGCCCTGCAGCCAGGCTCTGCTGGGTTTGGTTGGTGTCTTTACTGCACCAAGTGTTAAATACCATGGTCCAATGATTTATCAAGCAATTTTCCCCTCCACATTTTATTTCTGAAATCAGGAGATTTTTCTTAAAATCGAAAAGTAGTAGGTGTCTCAGTTTATTAGGCAGCATTTTTCAGGGGCAGCTAAAATAATAATGCAACTTATAATCAATGGTGCCTTAGAATCAGTGAAGTAAAATATTTTAAATATCATCATTAATAATGGTAAAGATCAATAATTGACCCAGTGGTTCTGGAGGCTGAGGCAGGAAGATCACAAGTTCAAAGCCAGCCTCAGCAAAAGCAAGGCGCTAAGCAACTCAGTGAGACCCTATTTCTAAATAAAATACAAAATAGGGCTGGGGATGTGGCTCAGTGGTTGAGTACCCTAAAAAAAAAAAAAAAGATCAATAACTGACAATTAGGAAGTCATATGTAACACTAAGAAGGAAAAGAAAAAAAACTTAGCATACCATTCTGGCTCCATTTTCAGGAGAAAGGCAAACACTATAATGCTCTAATCATATTCCAGCCCATGAACTATTTCAAAGTGGAAACCAAATACCAAATTAGATACTTTTAATTACCTTCAAAGCCATCATTATCAATGTCGCCAAGATTAACTATGGATTCTCCAAATCTTGCAGCATATTTGTCACTTCCAATGAGCACTGTTTCCATTTCATTCATTATTGCTCCCTAGATAGGAAGGGAGAGAAAAGGTGTCATCGTAACACTCCCTGACAACTTTACACATGCTTTACTGCTATAATTGGATATGGATTTTTTTCTAATGTGTCAAACAAGTTGGACAAACTACAGACTGAGCTTTAGTACACACATCTCAGTTCAATTCAATAAATATTTATTGAATATGTCAACACATATAATAGTATGATTAGAGCTCAGAGGACATAAAAAAAATTGTCAAACTCATGATCCCTCGCTTTAAAAATTCAATAAATCATTTGGATAATTCAATTTAACAAATATTTATTGAGCTCTTACTAAAGACAATGCACAGTACAGAGTGAACAGGTGAAAGAGGACAAGGCAGTGTGTATTTCAAAGGCTCTCTCTTTCCTTAAGAAACCCACAATTACAGAGAGGGCTTAGTGAAGCATGCAAATGATTTGGAAATACAAACTGCTTTGCAATAGCAAGAAGTCAAGAAAAAACACTTAACTGAAGCAAGCACAGAATGTCAATAATGAGCAGCAAGAAAAGAAGATCTAGAAGAGATTTCCTAAAGACAATGGCAAGCTAAGTAGCTACCCAAAGAAAGGTATAAACTTGATGTATAGAAAAAACTATGAGTAAAACCCAAATTCCAAAGGATTTGGCTATAATAACTGGTTAATGAATAGTGTAATAAATGAGACCAAAATAGCAACATATTTCAACCTTACAGTATAGAAATTTGATTGTGTTGGAAAATTCACTCTCACAGTAGCAAATGATAGGAAACCACTGAGAGGTTTCTGAGTTTAGTGACATGATTCAAGTTGGCCTTTGGAACCTGATCCCAGCAGCAATGGAGCATGGATTGGTCAACTGATACCTCAGAAGTTAGAAAATGAGTTATTACAGTAAGGCATGTAAAAATGAGCTGTTGTAAGAACAGCTACCAGTCCTCTTGCAAACTCTGATCATCCTAGTCCCCTGTGTTCAAGAAAAAAAAAAAAATGTACCACTCATCCTAAATCCTTTCCTCTTCTCAAGCAAATCTATTACTACTCATTCCCTAAACACATATAATCTTCCCCTTGTGATGTGTCCTTCACCTTTCAGTTTCTAAGTGAAAAATTCCTTTTCTTGTCTCACTCAAATATTACTTCCTCTGTGAAGCATTATAGATCCAAAAGGGAATCGCTTGTTCCACCTTGTTTGTACTTACAACATGCCATCTGCCACGTTGCATTCAACTGAGTTTATCCAATGTTTGATGTCCTCACCAGATCCTGAGGTCCTGGCATCAGGACTAAGATTATTCTTAGCTCTTTTTATGGTCTTTGTTATATTCCAGATATTCACAAATGTCATTTATTTTATTCTAAACAAACCAAGAGGATGTAAAGATCTCTATAGATGCAATCACTGACATCAAAGTAGTGAGGGATTAAATCATAGGAGGGGTAAAACTGTTTGCTCCTGGGAAATGCTAACTTGTATAGAAGGGAGAGCAGGCTCCAGGGAGGACAGACAAGATACATGTATAAGACAGTGCAGTTCTGAAGTAACTATCACCCTTAAGTATTCTCCAGTCCCAGAGAGCAGTGACCAAGGGTTCTCTGGGGACACCCAAGAGCTATTTTAGTAGAAGTAGGTAGAAGACAGAGTCATTCGAGTGTCATTCTTTCTCCAGTTCATTTCAAAAATAATCTTGGAGTACCTACTTGACTAGGAGTTTTCCAGGACCCGGGGAAAGAGTCACATAAATAAGACAGACGATTCCTCTCTACAGAGTGTCTGTACTCCAGGAGAATAGACAATAGCAAACCAGATAAATAAATATGTTATGCCACTTAGTGGTTAGTGCCACTTCAGACAGACATAGGAGGGTAGTCGGTAACAAAGGTAGGCTCATCTATATAAGAGGATTTAGAAGCCAAATCCAATTACTAATTGTTCAAGAGTGGGACCTCCAGGTAAGAGGATGGCCTAGTGGGCACGGGTCCTCCCTTGCTCTTTAAGGAAAGGATTTTTGCTTAAAATCTCAACGGGAAAAGAATTCCTATGTTACTTTATTTTAGGAGTATTGAGCTACTGTTTAAGTTTTCCTCAAATAGTTATAAAGAGAGACATTTGCAGCATGAACATGTAGTGGGCATAAGGGAGACCATTTATTGATATGTGAAATGTCTATGGAAGAAAAATTGGAGTCACTATTAATGCATTCTAATGATCATTGTATACATGGCATGCCGTTACTCTTAAATTTAGATTTAAACACAGCCTATGAAATCCCAGTGTGTAACTTCCCTACTCTTTATCTTGAGCGCTGAGATTTTCCCCACTTTACAAGGCTTGAGTGTCTTCTCTCAAATTACACAGATCTTTGTCTGATGCTTAGAACAGGAACTTATTAAGTGCTATGAAGCCATTGATTAAACAAGGGCACAAGTACCTTCTTGAAACAGATTTTACTTTTTTGAATCCTACTGAAAGACAATGTGCCCTAAGAAATGAACCAATTTTCTCACAAGTCTGAGCTTGTTTTCAAATCAAAGGAACAGGCCAAGAAGATCCCATTAAGGCCCTATCAATTCTTTGTTTTGATTTAATGTCAAGAAGCAAGGCTGGCAAGATAAGACCAGCAGAACTCTTCAAATTGAAACATCAAGTCATCAATTTCTATTCTAACACACTGCCTATGATTTAAAATTTAACTATAGTCACTAATCACCTATTTAAAAAATATATCCACTTTGGAATAAATCATGACAATTTCAAATTCTTATCAAGAACATTATCTCCATAAATTGTGCATTAACATTGTACCAAAACATCTTATTTCTAATTGTTTTCAAATCATGAAAAACTTATAATTTTTATCTTCTACTTCCAGTAATATTTTATACTTTCTTGAATCAAAAAGACCTTAACTATAGAACCACTTAAAAGTCCACATTCTGAAGGCTATACAAAAATCATTCTTTTGAATTAGATTTGTGTCAAAATAAAACTAAATGAAATTTCAAGTATACAGTGTGTTCACTGTGAATGGAAAAATTCCATACCGATTCATGTCATATTTCTGGGGTATCCAAATGAATTGGCTGGCCACTTAGAACCATGTTCCATTTCTCTTTTAGACAGTATTTTTTTTTATTTTTGTCAATACAATAAGCCTAAGAATCTACAGTCTCAAAATCTTGGAATAAGAAGAATTTCAGTTTCAGTGGTAATTCACATGTGGCTTCCAGTTTCAGGCAATCATACATACCGAACCAGAGTTGAGGTACACGAACACCCTTCCTTCCTCCCTGATGGCACTGTGCATGGGAGCTCCCACGAGGAGGTCTGAAAAGCCATCTGCATTGAGGTCCACAGCACAGACAGATGCTCCAAAGTATGAGCCAAGCTGTCCCAAAGTAAACCATACCCAGTCATTGAGAAAAAAGCAAGTACTTAAAAAAGCCTCTGGTATACCAAAGGTAGAGATATATTACCTTTTTACCTTTCATTTCATATAAGATGTTTAGCTCTTTTTCATCAATGCTGAATATATATGCCTGCAAAATTAGAGAAAGAATTAGGGAAGTTTATATTAATATCAAAGTTTCTCTTTAAAAAAAAAGCAACTCATCTGAAGAGCAATTTTTCATAACATGTAGTTGTTCAAATATAAAAAAGTGTAGTTTCAAAATTTTTATAAAAACATTTTAGGGGCTGGATTGTGGCTCAGCAGTCGAGTGCTTGCCTAGCACATCTGAGGCCCTGGGTTTGATCCTCAGCACCCATAAAAATAAATAAATAAATAAATAAAAACATTTTAGCGACAAGAAAAAGTTTAGGAATCCATTTTCACATTAATGTGCCTCACTTAAAAAAAGTGACCCCAGAAATTATCTTACTGATCCCATAGAAGGAACAGAAAATATTGTTTGCCTCACTGTTCAAAGCTAAGACTCAGAAAAACTGAGTGAGCAATGGTCACATAGTTATGAAGCAAAAATGAATCAAAATAACATTTTCTTCTTTCTTCTGGTCTTAGCAAAGGACGTGTAGCTGACTCCCATTTCTTTTGGATAAATGTTAACCAGTAAATGTATTCCCTGGACAGCTTTCAAGAACTTTATATTACAAACTATTTACTTATGAGAAAAGCCTCATTTAACTTACATAGTTTTCTTTAAAGATTTTCTGCTAGATTTCTTCTAAAACCATATCTCTTTCCCAAATCCCATTAATACAATATGCTGTTCATCATTTCTAATCTTTTATTCCTTAGAATTTTTGCAATTCCTCCTTTGATATCATATTGCCTCATGCAATTCAGTTGAAGCTTTGTGAAGAAATAAAGATAGAAATGGAATTCTTACTTTACCAATCTGCTCATGTTGAGGGGCTCCTCCAACTACCTCAGTAGTATGCTGACTCCGAAAGTGACCAGCTCCAACTGAGTATCCTTCAAGAAACAGGAGAAAGTACGAGGATCATCATTTATAGCGAGTTAAATAAACACTAATTCAGAGAATTAAATATGAGACCAAATTCAATACAACTATATTAAGCAGAACATTAAGAAGGCTTAGCATAATGCTGAATTTATTATGTTTTAAGCAATTTTGATATATGTGTTATGAAACTAATAATATGGTTTATATTTTCAAGTTCTAGAAATTGAAAATATTATCTTCATATTTGGTTTGTTAGTCTCTGTTTAGCATCAGAGATTAACTTCTGGGATGATAGCTGAATTACTGGAGAGGATATAAAACATTTTAAGCTTTGAATAATAATCTTCCTAAATTTCAGCTTTTACCATGAAATCTTCCTACTGTGGTGATTTATAACACTAATGGTAAGATTTTTTTTATGTGATAAAAGGCGTAATATCCAATTGCATTTCTTATAATACTTCACAATATCCTTCAATCATAAGAAAATGACAAATTATTGGTGAATGGGTCTGAGGGTTAGTTACTACTTGTTTTATTGTGATTATTTCCAAGTATAAAATGCTCAAATTTGAAGCATATACAGTTTAAGCAAATCTATTTTCTAAGAATCTACAGGAAAAGCATTTATTTTATTGTTATGGGAATTAACACCAGAACATTTTGCATTTCTGTAGAAACACAGATGATAAACTGTTCTACCACTGACTGATGAAATAATAAAACCATGATAAAAATAGTTACGTTCTGGAAAATATCTAAGAACTCATGTAAGGCAAAGGTTAAGGAGCAATTTTTAGATGATGCTTCATAATGTCACCCCTTATCCAAAATGCTGGTGACAGTACTGTTGGCTTTCATTTGGTCTTTCAAGAAACTGCTTTTACATTTTCATACATGTGTTTAAGTGAGTTTACTCAGATACAAGTCTTACAAAAAGTTTCTGGGATATAGTGTGCACTCAGCTGAGACCACCTTTCGAATCACTTTACCTCATAAAAGTACAAGTCTGTTTTCAAAAGTGAATTGCAAAGTCACTTAATGTAGAGCCAGGAATTGTAGTCTAAGAACTCTAGCATGACAACTGGAGTCACAAATGTCAATGTAGAACATCAAATTAACTAAAGTTTCATAGAATGTGTCCTTCAGAGAGTTTCTGAACAATTTTCCTTATTTGAACTTACTACTAACTTTAGGCATAGATAGAGTTTGTCAATTTTCACGGTACCTAAATAACTTCCAAATTTTACTTGATTGCCTTTGTCTAAAAATGCCTTGTATTTATTTGTAGTTATATTGTAGATAAAAAGAGAGCCAGTCCAATAAGATGATCCTGGGGCTCCCATCACAATTAAATCCTGTTAAGAAAAAAAAAAATTTATCATCACTTGAAAGTTAAATGTTACCACCCCAAACCTCCTCCAGATATACAAGATTATAAAAGTGAAGAGAATATATTTTTAGAATGAATTTCTGAAATATGAACATTTTACCAAAAACATCAGAGGAAAGCCAAAGAAGCTAACAGATTTCCACCTAAAAGAATTTCAAAGAAGAAACTCTGCAACTCTCACTTCACATTTATCAGTGGGTTTTAAAAAGCAAAGATAGAATCATTGAACACTAGAGTAAGCTTTGGAGAGAAAGGTAATGTGGTTTCTGTTAAAGAAAATTGAACATAATTCATTAATGCTCATTATGAAAATAATCATGTGCTGCCAGAGAATAAAAGCAAGACTTAATTCATTTCAATTTGCAAAAGACCACTGATGATTTCCTTCATGATGTTGGCTTAGGAAATAAATTAGTCCACTGGAATTTGGGACTAAACAGGAATTGAGGCAAATTCCAACAGAAGGAAGGTGGACTATGTCTGGTATATTCTATTCTGAAACCTGCAGTGATCAAACTGATATAACATATTTCTAGATTTTACAAATGATCATGAACTTTAAAAAGTCAACTTACATATAAACTAAAGACAGCAGTATAAGCATTTATTAATAGATAACATGTCCAGAAATTGCTAGTCCCAAACTTGATACAGTCTGGTCTCCATGGAGTCAAAAAACATTTATGCATGCATAATGGACTTTTCAAAGAAACTGAGAGAGTTAGTGATAAAGTATAACTGTGACCTATCATAGTACACCCTTAAATTTTAGAAGAATAATAAGAGTTTGGGAATATATCTGATTTAGGAAGACACTATTAAACTCTTAAATTTCTTAACTATTATCATTTTAATTGAAAATCTTAGAATCACATTTCTTTTCCCCTTAACTAGAACTTAAATACATGGATATTCTCAATACCTAAGTTAATAAAACAAATAACTTGGTACTTTTGATTTTCATTAAATTCTAGATGAAAATAATATTCTTTAATACAAATCTTAATTGGTTTTTGTGTTATAGCCATCTAAATATGCATGAATATTTAGCAGTAAAAGTCAAATTGTAATATAATTTAAGAGACATTATTAAGATGTTACAGAATGTTTACTTCAAAGCCTAACATTCCTCTAACTTTCTGAAGAATTAATGGTCCAAAAGTAATCATTCATAATAGTTAATTTTTGAATTATTACCTCTGTATAAAAACTAGATATTCCAGCTTGACATGATGCAAAATTTTCTCCAAATTTTCTCACATAATCTAAAATGAGATACAAACAATTCAGTATTACATCTTAAGATAAAAACATAACCCTCCATAATTTTTTTCTTGGAAATACTTACAAATACGCCTTTTAAGTTCTACATTTCATACTACTTCATTAAAACTAATAGTAATTAATGTAATTTAAAAATCTCACAATCTTTTATTAATCTTTAAAATATCACCATGAAATGTTAATAAAAACCCATCTCTTGGTGCTTCTTCTTCATGGGAAGATGAAGCATATGCTAGAAAATTTGTCAAGCAAGTATCTGAGGCAGAAGTAGGCATTGTAACTGAGCCCACATTCCACTTATAATTTCAAGGTGAGCATTATATTCTGATGTACATACACATACATGGTAAAATGGTTGCTTCATCAAATCAACACATCCATTCCCTCATAGGGACCTGTTGTGTGTGTGACTAAAGCAACCAAAATCCTTCTTCTTGGCAAATTTATAGGACATGCTATGCTATATTAAATATAGTCCTCATGCTGTATATTATAGATCTCTGGATTCACTCACTACTACAACTTTGTCTTTGTTTCCTAGATTATTCCCAGCTGAAACATTCAAGACCTGTAGGGAGATGGAAGGTGTCTAGCTACAAAGCCCTCGTGAATGAATGCTTTCAGAATTCACGAAAGAGACACAGCTTTGCTTCTTCTGAAGAACTGACATAAGAACCTCTCTCTATGAAAAGAAGGATCAGGGAAACATCTTCTTTTTAGTTTTGATAACAGAAAACTTAAAGAAGCTGCTATGGCACTTATATTACCATTTGCTGCTATGATTTTTATCACTCTTTTCATATCTTACCTGATCCTGTACTCTACAATTTTAGGTATGGTTTTAGGTTTATACCATCTTGAATTTTTTGGTAAAATGTGGCTAGATATATCTAAGCAAAACTAAAATTCTACTATGAAAATGTTTAAAAGTGTAAATCATAACAGACAACAGAGGGTAGGTAATAAATATACAGATGCTTAGACTGAGTTGTATAATAGAGAATATTTCTTTTTTTATTTTATTGTGTCCACAGGTAAAATAGAAATATTTATAATATAAACTTCTCCATGACATCAAATTCCAGGAAGGAAAGATCTCAAATAGCATCAGAATCAGTAACTGAAATAAGTACTTGGCGTACTAAGTTTTTCCTGTTAATACCAATTTTCTTTAGATGCTAGGTTTTTGGTTTTGTTTATTCAGTTAGAAAAATTGGAAATTGGCATTCATATTTCTTGGTTTTTCCTGGTATTTCTTGGTTTTGTAAAGATATATTTTTAGAGTTTTAGTTTTGTTGCAAATACCATTTTAAAGAGTCTAATGCTTGACCGACTGAACTAGCCAGGAACCTACAGATACCATTTCAAATGGTCTGTTGACATTTGCCCCTCACTTTGTTTTCCACAGTTGCTATACTCTAGTTCTGTATGTAAAATACCTATAAGATAGAAATCCCACAGGAAAGATCTTTCACACTTAAGATCTTTCTCCTGCTATTCAAGGAATACATATGAACTGGAGGGGAAAAAAGAAATGGTGAACGAGAAGGAAATGCTTACACTTATGCTTTGGATCCTTTTGATTACTGCTGGAAGCTTGAGGTAAAGCAAGAAACTACTCTTTTTTTTCCAACCAGATTTTTAAAATGCAATTTTATAATTTAAAATATTCAATATTCGCTGGGCATCATACTCACTTATAATGAATTAAAAATAAATTTAGTGCAAAAGTGGGTAATTACAAACTACCTTCCATCATTTTTCAAATTGAAATGTAGAATTTCTTTTTCTAAAATCAAGAAGTGCAATTGTGAAGACTAATGCTACCTTTTATTGGATAAAGTAAAGGAATATTTTGAACAGTTTAAAATACAACAAATAATTCAAAGACTTCTATCTTCCTTGCTAAACTTCCAAATCTGAAAATTAAAAAAAAAAAAAGTTGCTCACTTATTTCTCTTGATCTAGTTGATATCAAAATTATGCCTTACCTTGGTAACATGGAGCCATTCTCTTACTCAGTTCTGTTCGTAAATTAGAAGGCATTCCATAGCAAATACCAGTAGGGAGCTTATTTTCATTCCTGATGTAAAATACATTTTTCCATCTATGCCCACAAGCCTGATAAAATAAAAGTAGAACAAATTATGTGAAAATTGCATCCATGATATCTGATTTTAGAATTGATCAGTGGGCCAATTTCAATACCTACCACAATGGACCCATTCTCTCCTGGTTGTCTGGAAAGTGTGACACCCAACCACTGATTATCTCTCTCTTCCAAACAAGTCCTTCCACAAGGTTCTCCATGAGGGCTACCTAGAGCATTTGAACAGGAGTTTTTCCATTAGTTGTCTTGAAAACAATGTTATTGTACAAGAGCAGAGACAATAAATGTAGACACTCATCCCCAATGTTTTCCCTTCAACTGCTTCTCTCCTCTTAAAATCAGTGCATAGTTTGGGGGTAAATGTGAGTCAACTCTGTGCTAACATATTGTTCTCTCAAGCAAGAGAACAATAACCTCTTCTCTCATACAAGAAGGAATTGTAAAAATTACCTCCAATTGGGAGAAGGGACAGGAAAGGGGAGAAAATGAAAAAGGAACTTAACAAAATCATGCTACGTTTATATATAAACATACTACAGTGAATTCCATATTTATGTAAATGTATGAAGCACTAATCAAAAAATAAATACATAAGTGAAAAGACAAGAAAAAGAAATGACCTCCAATTGATAGAGAAACAGCCTCAATGATATGGGTTGGGGGGAAGCCCACTTAAAAACCAGCATAGTTACCACAAACACAACTGCAGTGTTTGATACCTGGAAAAGACTTTGCGTTTTAGTTTTAGTTTTAATCATTTATCTAGTGAAATAAGCAACATTACCAGAGCACTTTGTAAAATGTTTCCTGTATGGTCCTCAGCAATTAAGACACAGTTTATTGAATCCGGAAAGTGATGACTGAGCATGCACAAAGTGGAACATACAATTAGCATACTAATAATGCACAGCAATTTAAAACAAACTGCTCTATGTCTCACATTTAGTGGAAAGTGACTCATGTTTTCGATAAAGATAAAAAGACTTGGGAAGCTAGATTATTTTAAGTATTAAAAAAAAAAAACCTTCCCAAGTCTTCCCAAGTCATCATTTAGGCAAATTCATAAATAGCTAAGGGCTCAAATCTAGATAAAATATGCATGTACTGCTTGCTACTTCTAAACCATAAATAAAAAGTGATCTTCTTTTTCAGTGATAATCTTTTTTCATTTATTTGCATGACTTCATTCGTAGCTGGATCCTATTAGAACTTTTATTAAACTGATTCTAAATAAGTAATTTGAGGGAAGTATAAGATATAGTATTTTCTCCCTGCTTTCCTTTCCTCGCCACTCCTCTCTCCTATCTTCCTTCCTTCTGTTCCTAATTTTAACACAGAACCTTCTTTGTCCACCTGAACCAGATTTTTTTTTTTTTTTTTTTACTTAATTGCATCTCTCTTAGTTGACTCTTGACAATTTTATTTCATCTGTGCTCAATTCCGATGGCAGGTAAATACATTAGGATAAATTTGAATACAGATGTGGGACTTGTGTTTGTTTACTTAATTTTAAACACTGTTACCAGGTACCAAGTTTTACACATCTATAGTGAAACTCTTTATATCCTTCTCTATATCATTAAATGTTTTCTCTAACCTTATTACCTTGACCCTTACCTACAACATCCAGGGCATACTTGGAATATCTACATAGATAAGGCTGATATTTTGGAAGAGAAACAATGTGCACTAAATCTCCTGGGTAGGAGAGATTTTGCAAGGGAAGCAATGGGAAGATATTTATGAGTACACTTGTGTGCCTCCAAAACATAATTCAGGAGAAATGCTATCCTTAAGCACAGCTGAACTGAAGAAAGATTCCCAGCCACTCCTCCAGAGAGTCTGAGTCAGGGGTTCAGGTGAAGGCCTGGCTGCCCCAGGTGTCGTGATGGTCAGGAACACTGTTAGAAGGGAATGCGGGTCATGGTTTTCAGGCTAGGTTTCCTGGAGAATAATGACAACTCCCACTCGTTGGTAATGGGTTCTAGTGGGGATTAAATGGAATGGAGACTAAGGACAGGCCTGGAAAAAGAACCCTGGGCTACCTAGCAAGACTGCTTCTTCTAGCACAGGAAGAAAGTCCAGCCTTCATAAAGCACAGCGTCCAGGAGGACACAGATTTCTGTGGTCAATATAGGAACCAAAGGAAGGTAGGAAGGAAAGCAAGAGAGAGGTAAAGAGTGGGGAAGAGGGAAGTAGGGAGGAAAAAAAGAGAATGTTGAGTGGGTAAGGTTTAACATAGGGGGTTATTAGGTCCACATGATGCCAAACCAATAAAACCCAACTGAAAAAAGTTGGCAAAAAGAAATTTTAGTTTTCATCATGATGCAGTTTTCAGTTTGACTTTTCACTAAAATCACCAGTTTTTATTTTTACTACTATCAAAGACATATAATCAACAGACATAAGTAATTTGAGGAAAGAATAAGATTCATTAATTTTCTCCCTGCTTCCCTTTCCTCCCCCCTCCTCTCCCCCACCTGCCTTCTTTTCCTAATTTTAACAAAGAACCCTCTATGTCCACCTGAACCAGATTTTTTTTTTTACTTAATTGCATCCCTCTTAATTGACTCTTGACAATTTTATTTCATCTGTGCTCAATTCCATCTACCTGAAGTTGAAGTTCCTGTTATTTAACCCAATAAACATATCCATGAATACCTCTCAGAAAATATCAATCATTTCTAAAATCAGAGTCAACGGAGTTAATTTTCTTCCTGTTAATTTGTCTTTGTTAAGGAATGGGAAGGATGGAGGTCACAAATATTGTACATTTAATTGTTATGGGCTAGGCTATAATGGGCAATGACCAAACAGATTCCATTTTACCCTGAGACTCCACATCATGTAAGAAATGCTTCTCCCATGAGAACTCCCCGCCTCTGTACCCATCAATAATTGCTTAGCATAGCATGTCTGGCAACACAAAATGGCAATTCTTATACAATGTAAAATTGTTCTCTTTTTGGTTCCCTTTTCTTTAAATTTTTAATCTTAATTTATGAGTTTACATGTCAATTTTGGTACCAAACACATGTAGTCATGACAATACTCCAGTGTACACAAAACAAAGACATCCATAGCGTATTTTTCAAAACCTATTAGATGGAGAGCTAACCCTTGTAAATTGGCCTGTGAATGAATCAGAGTGTAAAAGAAACCTTCATAATTGGATAAAATAGGTCTGATCAGAAAAAAAAAAAAACATATTAATCTAGGTGTGGCAGATTGAAATTATGAACTTAAAAAATATAGACTTTAAAAGCCTTCCTGGCTGGGCTGGGGATGTGGCTCAAGCGGTAGCGTGCTCGCCTGGCATGCGTGCGGCCCGGGTTCGATCCTCAGCACCACATACCAACAAAGATGTTGTGTCCGCCGAGAACTAAAAAATAAATATTAAAAATTCTCTCTCTCTCTCTCTCTCTCTCTCTCTCTCTCTCTCTCTCTCTCTCTCCCCCTCTTTAAAAAAAAAATTAAAAAAAAAAAAAAGCCTTCCTGGTCTCCATCCTGATGTGGTCCCTCTCATCCAAGGTGAAAAAAGTTAAGTGACAAAGGCCAGTGCCCCATCCCTCCCTGAAGGAATTTCTGAAGAGGCAGCAAGGGAGTCTGCTTTCATTGGTCTCCTAAGGAGAACCCCCTCAGGTTGGGGTCCTGTTCTAAACCGGTTTTTCTGGTCTCTTGGATGGTGGCCACCAAAATCTTAGCCTGGCATTTTGAAAAACATTTATCAGCTAGACTGACAACAGCTAAAAAAACTTTGGAGTCACCTCCAATAGTTGGAAGTTATTCTGAAAACCCTTTAATTTGTGGAGTTTTCTGAGAATATCTGGGGCTGATGGAGAGACAAAAGCCAAATTTCCTAGACAAAATGATGCTTTTACATATCTTAGAAATGATGATCCTATAAAACTTTAATTCTAATCTGCCCTCTAAACTGATATTGTCTACTCTGCTGGCCACCTGGCCCAGTTCCTAAATGAAGGCAAACTGTAGAATGCTTTTTTTACCTTTAGCTTTTACTTTGGACACCTATTGACAGCCATTTACATTTCAATGCAAGCTTTCCAGAGCACAATTAAAACCTTTTTAACCATTTTTTTCCAGGTTGGTTTGGATTAGGTTTAAGGCTAACAATTAGGGCTGGGGTTGTAGATCAGTGGTAGAGCGCTCACCCAACACCTGGGAGGACCTGGGTTTGATCCTTAGAACTACATAAAAATAAATAAAATAAAGATACTGTGTCCAACTAAAACTAAAAAAAATGAATATTAAAAAAAATTTTAAAAAGAAATAAAAGGAAGGTGAGAGACAAGATTTTAACAAGGCTCTGAGTTTGACTCAAGTCTGAAGGTGGTGGCAAGTCACTGATGGGTCAGGTCTGTAAAAATAAAAGGAAAGTGTCTCTCTAGGGCAAACAGTTAAAATAATCTTAGAAACAAACAAAGCAAACTGAGGTAGAAACTAACACAAAATAAAAAGGGGACAAACAAAAACAACAACCAAAACATGTCAAAAATACAGGACAGACATTCTCTCCTTCTTCTACTGGACCCCAATCTTCAGACTGCCCTCACGGTCTACTTAGCAGAGTTCTCTGGGCCTTGACTAAGACCTCTTCAGGCTCAAGATCACCTTGGGCATTACAGTCAAGCACTTGATACAGTCAAGTGGATTGATACACCCCCAAAACAGAACCCCTGATGATCAAGTGCTCAGAACCTCTACGCAATTACAATCAAGTCAAAGGGAAAGAAGAAATGAGGTAGTTCCCAACCCATGCAGTTCCATCCTCCTTCAAAGCCTCTGGATTTACAGATGTGGGCCACACCAGAGCTTTCATGGGCAGTCTCAAATCAGTCACCACAGGAGATCCAGACCCTCACAAAGCAGAGAGTTCTCACAACCAGAGAGGTTGGAAGCTCTCTGTCTGCTTCAGAGGATTTAGGACTCAGGTGTGCCTGAGAGCCACAGCCTTGACTGAGGTTATCATTTCCCTAGGGCCTCCAAAATGTTAAGGCGAGATTGCAATAAATCACTGAATTGATCTTACAGCAGGAGACTGAACCTTTATTCACCAGCCAGTGGTCTGGATCCACTACCTGGCAGGTCAAGAGTCAGGCTGCAAGTCTACACACTTCAACCCCCTCCTGGGGTTTGAGTACACCTTTTATAGTCCAAAATCATAGTATTCATAAATGGCTGTTGCTAT